CCCCACATCCACACCCTGCTGAGCTCAAGGGCACGATGCAGTCCTGACCCAGCCCCCCCCCACTGCTCTCTGTCCACACAGGAGGGTCTTCATGGGGCTTCCTTCCTTTTCCAGTCCTAATGTTTGGTTCGTTAACCCCCACGGATGCCACTGCCCGCTCGTCAGGCCCATACACGCTTGACATCAAAAACAAGGCACTGCCCACAAGGCCTCACCCTGCCCCACAGGAACCCTGTGCCAGGTTAAAAATAAAAATCAAAAAAAAATTCCCCTTTTCCTTTTTGTCTCCCCCCCCTTGTTAAAAATAAAAAAATAAAAAGTTAAAATAAAAATTAAAAAAAATTCCCCTTTTCCTTTTTGTCACACACCCCCCCTTGTTAAAAATAAAAAAAAATAAAAAGGAACCCTGTGCCAGGGACCCACCTGGCTTTCCTCTCTCCAGGCTGCTCTGTCCAGGAAAAGTGCCGCCCCCCCACATTCTCGCCCAGCTGGGAGGTGCCAGAGAGCCTGCAGCTGGAGGTGGCGCCTCCCACACATTCCTCCACTCCCCCTCTCACTCACCACCACCACCACCCCCGCGCACCCCTGCTTGGCCAGGATGAGGCTTTTGAAAAACAGTTCCTCCCATTTTTTGCCTCTCAGGAAAACTACTAGATGCGTCCAGCCCAGGGCAGGCGCTCTCTGTGGCAGGCCACGCATCCCCACACAGCAGGCCCAAGCCAGGGGAGCCACTGGAATGAGCATCAAACACCCCCTCTCCCCACTTTGGAGGGGTGCGTGATGACAAGCCCACCCACCCACCTGGTCCCAGCCCTCCAGCCTTGCCTGCCTCCACAGCACAGTTCTCTCGGACATCGGACATCAGACCTGGAAAAGCGCACGCACGCACACACACACACAAAGAGCCAGCTCCTTTCACAATCCACCCAGCCAAGCCCACACCAAAGCAGCCCACAAAGGGACTTCCCCAAACACAAGGAGGCTGAGTTGGGTTCACTATTTGCCCAGTAATCTTTATTTATGGAAACTCAGGAAAAAGTTACTATTTTTTTAAATTTGGAATACTGTACAAATCTGACGATGCTAGCTAGCTAGCGGATTCTGGAAGCTGCCATCCCAAAGGGTAACTTTCCCAAACCTATTTGTATCAAATCCACAAATGTCAAAACAAGCACTCTTTTGTTTCTTCCCCCGTCCCGCCCCGCCCCCCCCCAAAAAAAGAGGTTTCGGCTGTCCTGCCATCTTTTTAGTCAGTTGAAATCTTTCCCCTTCAAGAGCCACTAAAATTTTCTCTGCTCAAAAGGCAACTTGACAGGCGAGGATGCCAAAGGACCATGAAAGATGCCAGACTGTAAACTCTACGGCGGATAATATCCGACTTCCTTTCCTTTTTATTGTTTGGGGTGGTGTTAGAGTGATTACATGCTCGGTTTTGCGTTGTGTCTACAATCACTGAATTAGGAGGAGGATGTTTTGAAAGAAATTCCGTATCAGTGCCATGGGTCTGGTAGAGGTTCTCAGCTCTCCAAGAGATCTGAGGCACAGAAGACGGTTTAGACCAGGGGCGTCCAACCTTTCACCTTCCCTGGGCCACATTAGAAGATGAAAATTTGGTTTGGGCCGCACATACATTTGGTTTGGGCCGCATGGGGGGGCAGCCCTAGCCGTCCTCCGCAGCCCCGCTCCAAGCGCGCTTACCGGCAGCTGCGATCTCAGACAGCAGAGGCTGCCAGCTTCGACTCCGGTGGCTTTATGGGGCCGGGAGGGGGTCCACTTATTGACAGGGATGGCGCAATGCAGTCACGCAGCCCCCCTGTCCCCTCCCCTCCCACTCCTTCCTTCCTTCCTTCCCTCTCTCCCCCTCTACCGTTCTGACATGCCCCGGCCACATTCCGGCCACAAGCACCGGCAGTGTAACTTGAAACTTTGGAATTTCTTTAAAAATAAAAAATTGCACTGGGCCGCATTACGAGCTGCCCTCGGGCCGCAGGTTGGACAAGCCTGGTTTAGACCAAGACTGCTTGATCAGTTTGGGCAGCGATGGAATGAAACCCATTTGAAGTGGGGATGTCTGGTCCTCATCAATGTCCTCATACACCTTATTGGATCCGGACTGAATTGGCCATTGGAGTTCAAGGTCCATGGCTTTGCCAATGCGTAGGATCAATTGTGAATACGAAGAGGTATTCAGATTGAGATGGTGGAATAGTATTGGCCACATTGGAATCAGGAGTCGGAAAATTGGGGGGGGGGGGGGTTTGAATCTAGTGGTATTAGTGAATCAGAGGAATCAGAATCTGAAGATTGTGCTGGTGAAAGTGAAGAGCTTGGTTGATACGAAAAGGTGACGGAGGAGCAGTTGGCTGATGTCCTGCGAGGTATTGCTCGAGTTGAGTGATCTGACTTACGCTTCTGAGGTTTCGTGGGGTCTACGGTACTGGGCAAAGGGCCGGTATAAGTCATGGGATGATGAGCGGACTTCAGAAACAGTAGACATATCAGCCGCCGGTACAGAGGGCTTGGCTTCTTCGGTACCAACGTTACTGGGTAACTTGAGCATTTTTTATGGGGCTTCAGTACTAGAGGAGGAGGAACATCCTCATCATCCAAGGACTGATCGTAATAGTAGCCAGACTGAGGTGAGGGGGACTCCGAAGAATCTGACGGGTAGTAGTATGTGTACCAAGGGCAATTGGGTTCAGCATAACTTTCGGTATCATGCTGCCAGTACCGGTATGGATGATGCCAATACCATCTAGGCTGTGGCTCGTAGTAAGCTAGAGGCTCATAAACAGTGTTGTCAAGCCCGAGAGTCCTGCGATACCGAAAATCTCAGAGGCGGAGAGGTAACGGTATCGGAACGGCCCATGTCCTCAATGTGGTGGAGTTTAGCTCTCTTCTTCCGTAAAGGCACTGGATCAGCAGGAATGGATGCTGATACAGACTCACACCCGGACACAGAGCAACCCAGGGATTCGGGTCTCAAACAGGCCGCATAAGGTAGTACAGTTACCTCAGCCGAGGTGTCTGCCCAGGAGGGAGACTGAGCCAACAGAGGAGAAGGCGGCTGTCCGGATGGAGGCGGAATGGATTCGTGGTCAGTATCAAGATCGATAGGTGGTTGATCCTGCATGGGAGGGTGTTGTACTGGTGGCTACGCGCCGATAGAAGACTTCTTAGCTTTCTTTGGCTTGGTACCGACCTGTTTCGGAGTGGATTTTGGTGTTGGCGTCAAATGAGATGCCGATCCCAAGGACTTAGGCTTAGGCATTTTGGGCTTAGATTTAGGTGTTGGCAACGGAGAGTTGGCAGCAGACGAGACCAGTGGTGGTTGTGAACCGTGTGCCTCATCCATCTCAGATGGGGGAAACGAAGAGATTGCTCCCACAAAAAAGTTCTGAGGCATTGTTGGTGGAGTTTGATGGCTTGTTTAGTGAAATTTTTACTTTGGGAGCAGGAGGCCGGTTGATGCGATTCTCCCAGACAAAACAGGCAAGAACCGTGGCCGTCAGACACAAGGCAACTTATTCGTGCGCCTCTTAAACGGCCCTGGGAGGGGCCATAAATGGCGGGGAGGGGGAATGGTAGAAGGGAAAAAATTGAAATCTCACAAAAGAAGAACGAAGAGAGTCTATTCTAAATAACGATAGGATTATAATTATGTTTCCTCAGGAAAAGAACCAGATTGCACGAATGGGGAGCGCAACCGAAGATGAGACCTCAGCGGCGGCAAAAACGAACTGAGGTCATCGCCAGGACGGGCAGACCACGTGTGTTGAGGGGGCAGGTCCTGCCGAATGCATGGTTGAGCTCTAGAATATTCCGGAGACCTCTGCACAGGTGCAAATTAAACCCACTAGTGTGCATTCACAGAGGCCACGAAGAAGAAGAAGAAGCAACATTCCAGCACCAGACTGTGCTCAGTTCAACCCTTTCTGGACTGAGGCGTGTGACCAAAAACCAGCCCCATTAACCCAGGACCGAGGAGAAGCCAGCATGAAGCCATCGGGGCTGTGCCTCGATCCGTTCTGGCGCCTGGCTCTGCGAAGGAGGCTCTCTTCCCCCATGCCAAGAGCTACGACCCCGGCACAGAAGGGATTCTTGAGCAGAAGGAACAACACATCTTGCAAAAAAGCGTTGGGCCACTCCATGCCCACCGCCATTAGGCGCACGCCTGAGTCGCTGCGCTTGGGTTCCTAGCAGGCTGCCCTCCGTTCCCTCTCTGTCCATCCATTCCCTTAAGTTACACACTGACCGTCCCTGGCAAGCAGGGCGCATGCTGGCGTGTGGCCTAAGCCAGAACCCGTCTGTGAGCCACTTCACCAGACACGCACCCCTGGCAGTGAAGACATATGATCCGGGGCAGCTTCAAGAAGATCCCTGGATGGTGCCTGCTGTTGAGTCGAGTCCTTACTCATTTCCACACCATTTGGCCTGGGGGTAAAGGCTGAATGGCGGAGAGCACTCTGGACCCAAGCAGGGCTCAATGTGACGAGAGGCAACTGGAAGTCACCTTGCAAAGGATGCGGAGCCGACATAGTGCAGAGGGCGCGGGGGGGGGCAAAGCTCAAATGCTCAAGTGGCTATGAAACACATCAGAGGCCCCTTTGGAAAGAGGCACTCTCCCCCCCCCCTGATGTCCCTCCCAGGGCAGTTTTAAGCAGGGAGGAGGACGAGAGCCCCGTACGCCACTTTGACCCCATTGTGAACAAACACGACATCAGTTTAACCCATAAACACGGGTACTGGCAGGGGCCCACGGAGGATGATTCGAGGAGCTCCAAACACCCACTTCCCCTCAAGACAAGGCTGAAGTGCACCTTGCGGAGGCCTCGTCTGCAAAGGGAGGCCAACAAACTCAGAACACAGAACATCCTACAGAAGCAGCCTCCCTCCTGCTCCACTATCAGCCCTTCCAGTTCGCCGGAGGAAACTGGCTCGACCTGGCAGAAGACCCAAGAGGAGGGGATTTTCTTCAAGGGAGGAGAACCTAAAACTCACACAAACACCCAGAGCAATTAGGCGGTGGCTGGAGAACCCTAAACCTGTTCAGCTTGGGTTGTTATACGGAGGAGAGGGGTTCGTTTTAACAACTATCGTCATCCGCTGAGGATATTGTGTTCTGAATTTTCATTTATGTTTGTATAGGGTTCAACTACAATATATTTAATGGGTTTTGTTATTACCATTTTGATAGCCGGGCTGCTCCACCCCATGCCGAGAATGCTTGTTTGCGATAATAATGGCGCCATCAAGTCAATTCTGGCTCAGTGTGATCCTTTTTTCAGGGTTTTCTAGGTAGAGAGTACCCTGAAGTATACAAAGATGTCCAAAGTTGCTTTAATTTGTTTAAAGATAAGTTTTGTTATTTACAGTGGTTTTATTGATTTGAGAGAGGGGGGGCACATCTCACCGGCAACAGCCACCCGTGCGGTCGGTCGACAGAAGGCATGGAATTCTGGCCACTTCAACCCACCTCCTGACTTGCTTCCCCTGCTGAACACGCAGAAAGAGGAGCTGGCAAAAGACGCGGGAGAGAAACCGTCCGGAAATGGGGACTGATCCGTCTGCAAGACAGCGTGTGGCTAAAGCGACAGACCTTGGCTGTCTCACCACTAAATCTTTTACTGGGACAGGAAGTATTTTTGCAGAGTAACAATAACAACAAGAGCAATCACCTCTGAACTCCGAAGCTGGAAGGGACCCTGTGGATCATCGTGTCCACTCCCTTGTCAAGGAGGTCCAGTGGGGGGAATGGAACGCCCAACCGCTGGCTCCGCGGCCAAAGACCTAAACTACTGAGCTATCCAGCCCCCAACCGCTGGCTCCGCAGCCAAAGACCTAAACCACTGAGCTATCCAGCAGTGGGGTTTCTCCCGGGCAAAACCAGTCCCATCTAGCTTGGCCCATTGAGCCCAAACAAAGCTTGATACCAAGGGATCCCAAACAAACGGAGGCTACACTGATGCTGACGCTTCCTCGTCTTCCACCGAGCCCAGGCACCCACCTTGCTTGGAGCTGTGATGCCCACTCTGGCCTTCTAACTAGGGGCACAGCCCTTCAACAGACTGTCCCACTGTTGTTGGGTTGGGACGACACGAATATCAGGTCCTCCCACCCGCCTGCAAACGCTGACCCTACCCCCGCCCCTCCCAAGGCTGCCCTGCTTGCTTCCCACGGCCAGGCAGCCCTTGGGGCATTCCACTCGTCCCGGGAAGGGCAGGGGGGAGCAGACCTCTCCCTTCAAGGAGATAAAAGCTGCCGCCAAGGAAGAGGAGCCCTTCCGGTCACCCAGCGCCACCTTCTCGTCCCCTCTGCCTCCCTGCCCACCAGCAGAACGGGAGGAGGCTCCTGGACAAGGGATGCAGACTTTGCGGCAGGGCCTCTGGTGGCCACAAGTGGGTATTCGGTTCCCCCCCCAAACAGGCAGCGATGGCAGGGCAACGGGAGGCAGGAACAGACGGGCAACCTATGGCGGGGAGGGAGGGAGGGAGGGAGGGAGGGGGCGAGGCAGCGCACGCCATCCATGAGACAAGCCCCCTCTTTGCAGAAGGCCCTGGAAGCTCCCACAACTGCCCGGAGAAGGGCAGGCGAGCAGAGCCACCTCTCCCGAAAAAGGGAGAAGAAGCCGCTGCTGCCAAAGTCAACAGGCTCTGCTCTCACACCTTGTCCAGTTCAGAGCAGGATCGAGCCAAGAAGCCCCCAGTCGGGGTCCAGGGGAGGGGGACAGAGGCCTTGGCGCCAGCAGCTCAGCTCCCCCGGCCAGGGGACCCCACCCTCCGCGCTCCTCCTAGGCAGGCCCACGCACTGGGAGAGGCCACTGTGGGCAAGATCCTGCCCCCGCTCTGCCCCATCAAGGGGAAAGGATGGCTCACCCAGGGCTGGGGCTCCATGGCAGGCTTCCTTGTTTACCAGATACATGGGAAGGCTACACGCCTGGCCCCAAAGCCACGCCAGGGGCAGGAATGTTCCACAAATCCAAAAGAAGACTGGCTTCCTTTCGCTTCTTTCAGAAGATTCCTACCCTGCTTTTCAGAGGGGGTCCTTCGACCTGGAAAACGCAGTCGAACTCTGCTCCTGGGGGGGCCTTGCCTCACTTTCTCCCCTCCCAAAAAACAAAACAAAACAAAACAATAACTTAAAAGAAAACTGAGTCTTCTGAGTGATTTTCCGCACAAATTTTTCCACTGCTGGATTTCCTGCTGAACCACGGCTCGAAAGAGGTCCTCGTGGCCACAGGGCAGCCGGCTCCAGGCCCTGCACCCCACCCAGGGCTCCCACTTCAGCCTCCGGATCAGGGCCCGGGCTTCCTCGCTTGGCTCCTGGAAAGGGAGCAGCAGCGTCCCCCTGGCCCAGCTGCCGGTGGGCAAGGGGGAAACTGAACAGTCCCCCCTCCCGTTGCCCTGCTCTCTCTCCCTTGCCCAGGTTCAGCATGAAGAACGTTCACCGTCAGGAGACCAGGGGGAGAAGCTCCCGGGACCATCCCGTGCCCATCGAGAGGGACAAGCTCCTCACACTGACCCACCACCCTGTCTCCACAGACAGCCAAAGGCACGCTCCTGTTTGGAGATGGCGGGGCCGGGGGCAACTCTGGCCGCTGTGGTCCGGTTGCCACTCAAAAGCAAGCCCACCCACCGCATAAGGCAGGCAGCAGACGAGCAGCGGGGCCTCCGAGCACAAGGGGCTGCTCCCAGATCACCCTCCCGGGACCACGTCCCAGAGGCAGGGGCTCCAACCTGCAACCGGCTTCGGTGCACGGCAGCACCAGAACTGCTGCAGGGAGGTTGGCCAGCGGAAAGAGGAAGAGGAAGGCCTGTCCAGCTACGGCAAAGCTGGCTGGAAGGCAGGCCACGCAGCAGGGGAAACAGCTGCTTCCCTGCAACCCCAAGAGAGATCCTGGCCCATCAGCGAGGCACCACCCTTGTTCGTCCTCACCGTTGGGTGACGGGATCAAGCAACGCGTGCACACACATGCACATGCATAAACCCCTCCAGGATGTCCACAGCAGGGCAACTGACGGGCCCCCTTCTGTTTTGGCTTAACGACATCTCGACCTTTTAAACAAAGCCAACCAACCCCGTACCTAATCTCATCTGGTTTGCTTGAAATAAGCCAACTTCAAACTATGGTTTATGATGGAGGCCTGTTTGATACTACAGCTAAGGTCAGAAACAGCTTGTGACCTCTGAACATAATGTTAAACTGCATAATGCATCAAAAAAAGGAGAGAGTGCAAAATCTGTCTTCTCCTTCCAGGTACTGCACAGGAGTTCCCTGATCCCAGGACCCCTTTGTGCTTGACGCAGAATCACAGAAAAGTGAAGTGGGAGGGGGCCTCACAAGGCCATCTAGTCCCACCCGCTGCTCAAAGTGGGAATACCATCAAAGCATACCTGCCAGGTGATTATCTTAAGTTTTTCTTGAATGCCGCCAGCGTTGGAGCACTCACCAACTCCCGAGCTAATGGGTTCCACTGTCGTAGTGCTCTACCAGGAAGTTTTTCCTGAATTTCAACCGAAATCTGGCCTCCTTTAACTTGAGCCCATTGTTCCATGTCCTGCACTCTGGGACAATTGAGGACAGATCCTGTCCCTCCTCTGTGTGACAGCCTTTCAAATATTTGAAAAGTGCTATCCTATCACCCCTCAGTCTCGCCTGCCACTTTGAAAAAGGTTCAAGCCCCCCCCCTCCCTGAAGGACCAGTAACGTCTGGAACCGCAGCACTACCCTGGCTGCTCTCAGACGGGAGGGGGGGCTGGAGCCATGGGGACCCTCCTGCAGCCTCTCTGTGTGTGCTCACACACACACACACACACAGAGAGAGAGAGAGAGAGAGAGAGAGAGAGAGAGAGAGGCTCCTTCTCCTCTTCTTGTCCTTGCTGAAAGATGCTTCTTTCAGCAAAAAGCCAAAGGCTGCCTTGAGAGCAAACGGCACAGGTTTATGGCAATCAGCACATTTCACTCCATGAAAGAGGAGGACCCGGATGGGGGGGGGGGG